TATCAATAAAAAATATTTTAGCTTGATCTCAGTTCCTGAGGTAAATATCCCCATCAGCTACCAATCCAAAATGTTGAGTTTGATCAAAGTTCCTGAGGTAAATATCCCCCTCAGCTATCAATGAAAAAAATGTTGAGTTTGATCTCAGTTCCTGAGGTAAATATCCCCCTCAGCTACCAATGAAAAATGGTGAGTTTGATCAAAGTTCCTGAGGTAAATATCCCCCATCAGCTACCAATCCAAAATGTTGAGTTTGATCAAAGTTCCTGAGATAAATATCCCCCTCAGCTATCAATCAAAAATGTTGAGTTTGATCAAAGTTCCTGAGGTAAATATCCCACATCAGATATCAATAAAAGATGAATTGAGTATGATCTCAGTTTCTGAGGTAAATATCCCCATCAGCTATCAATGAAAAAAATGTTGAGTTTGATCAAAGTTCCTGAGGTAAATATCCCCATCAGCTATCAATGAAAAAAATGTTGAGTTTGATCAAAGTTTCTGAGGTAAATATCCTCATCCAGCTATCAATAAAAAAATATTGAGCTTAATCCCAGTTGCTGAGGTAAATATCCCCATCAGCTATCAATACAAAATGTTGAGTTTGATCTCAGTTCCTGAGGTAAATATCCCCATCCAGCTATCAATAAAAAATATTGAGTTTGATCCCAGTTCCTGAGGTAAATATCCCCAACAGATACCAATGAAAAATGTTGAGTTTGATCGCAGTTCCTGAGGTAAATATCCCCCATCAGATATCAATAAAAAAAATATTGAGTTTGATCTCATTTCCTGAGGTAAATATCCCCATCCAGCTATCAATAAAAATATTGAGTTTGATCTCAGTTCCTGAGGTAAATATCCCCCATCAGATATCAATAAAAAATATTTTAGCTTGATCTCAGTTCCTGAGGTAAATATCCCCATCAGCTACCAATCCAAAATGTTGAGTTTGATCAAAGTTCCTGAGGTAAATATCCCCCTCAGCTATCAATGAAAAAAATGTTGAGTTTGATCTTAGTTCCTGAGGTAAATATCCCCCTCAGCTACCAATGAAAAATGTTGAGTTTGATCAAAGTTCCGAGGTAAATATCCCCCATCAGCTACCAATCCAAAATGTTGAGTTTGATCAAAGTTCCTGAGGTAAATATCCCCCTCAGCTATCAATGAAAAAAATGTTGAGTTTGATCTCAGTTCCTGAGGTAAATATCCCCCTCAGCTACCAATGAAAAATGGTGAGTTTGATCAAAGTTCCGAGGTAAATATCCCCCATCAGCTACCAATCCAAAATGTTGAGTTTGATCAAAGTTCCTGAGGTAAATATCCCCATCAGCTATCAATGAAAACAATGTTGAGTTTGATCTCAGTTCCTGAGATAAATATCCCCCTCAGCTATCAATCAAAAATGTTGAGTTTGATCAAAGTTCGTGAGGTAAATATTCCCATCAGCTATCAATGAAAAAAATGTTGAGCTTGATCAAAGTTCCTGAGATAAATATCCCCCATCAGCTACCAATCCAAAATGTTGAGTTTGAACAAAGTTCCTGAGGTAAATATCCCCATCAGCTATCAATGAAAAATGGTGAATTTGATCAAAGTTCCGAGGTAAATATCCCCCATCAGCTACCAATCCAAAATGTTGAGTTTGATCAAAGTTCCTGAGGTAAATATCCCCATCAGCTATCAATGAAAACAATGTTGAGCTTGATCAAAGTTCCTGAGATAAATATCCCCCATCAGCTACCAATCCAAAATGTTGAGTTTGAACAAAGTTCCTGAGGTAAATATCCCCATCAGCTATCAATGAAAAATGGTGAATTTGATCAAAGTTCCGAGGTAAATATCCCCCATCAGCTACCAATCCAAAATGTTGAGTTTGATCAAAGTTCCTGAGGTAAATATCCCCATCAGCTATCAATGAAAACAATGTTGAGCTTGATCAAAGTTCCTGAGATAAATATCCCCCATCAGCTACCAATCCAAAATGTTGAGTTTGATCAAAGTTCCTGAGGTAAATATCCCCATCAGCTATCAATGAAAAAAATGTTGAGTTTGATCTCAGTTCCTGAGATAAATATCCCCCTCAGCTATCAATCAAAAATGTTGAGTTTGATCAAAGTTCCTGAGGTAAATATCCCCCATCAGCTACCAATCCAAAATGTTGAGTTTGATCAAAGTTCGTGAGGTAAATATCCCCATCATCTATCAATGAAAAAAATGTTGAGCTTGATCAAAGTTCCTGAGGTAAATATCCCCATCCAGCTATCAATAAAAAATATTGAGTTTGATACTAATTCCTGAGGTAAATATCTCCTACAGCTACCAATGAAAAATGTTGAGTTTGATCTCATTTCCTGAGGTAAATATCCCCATCCAGCTATCAATAAAAAATATTGAGTTTGATACTAATTCCTGAGGTAAATATCTCCTACAGCTACCAATGAAAAATGTTGAGTTTGATCTCAGTTCCTGAGGTAAATATCCCCCATCAGATATCAATAAAAAATATTTTTTAGTTTCATCTCAGTTCCTGAGGTAAATATCCCCCTCAGCTACCAATGAAAAATGTTGAGTTTGATCAAAGTTCCTGAGGTAAATATCCCCCTCAGCTATCAATGAAAATTTTGTTTGAGTTTTATCTCAGTTCCTAAGGTAAATATCCCCATCAGCGACCAATGAAAAATGTTGAGTTTGATCAAAGTTCCTGAGGTAAATATCCCCCTCAGCTATCAATAAAAAATAATTTGAGTTTGATCTCAGTTCCTGAGGTAAATATCCCCCTCAGCTATCAATAAAAAAAAATGTTGAGTTTGATCTCAGTTCCTGAGGTAAATATCACCCATCAGATATTAATAAAAAAATATTTTGAGTTTGATCTCAGTTCCTGAGGTAAATATCCCCCTCAGCTATCAATCAAAAAATGTTGAGTTTTATCTCAGTTCCTGAGGTAAATATCCCCATCAGATATCAATAAAAAAAATGTTGAGTTTGATCCCAGTTCCTGACGTCAATATTCCCATCAGCTATCAAACAAAAATGTTGAGCTTGATCTCAGTTCCTGTGGTAAATGTCCCCCTCAGCTATCAATCAGCCACCCCGTGTGGCGTTAAGCTCCCTGAGGGGGGTTAATTCTAAAATCTCTCCATCCCCAGAAAGAATTTACCCCAACCCCTGCTTCACTACACAAAATATAAACAAAGCTAAAAAAAATCCCGCGCTTTTTTTTGGCGGGAAAAACGGGGGGGGGGGTTATCTTTCACGAACGTCACGAACGTGATTTAAAGCAAAAAACACCCAAAAGTTGAAGGGTTATCAATACGTTGTTTTTAATATTCATTGATAGTATAATTAATAACGGTTGTATGTATTTGTTTATTAATTTTAACGGGGCCCACTGCATGTTGACGACCATTCACGTCGCTTGAACGCGCACCACGGTAATTTTCTGAGGTAAACATTGTATCGCGAAACAATTACGTTAACTATTTTTTATTATAATTAAAAGTTGGTTCGGAAAGTCAACTCCGTTTCCAAGTGTCTTTTTGTACCATTATCGATACTGTTACGATGAAGACGTATCAATAACAACAGCCAGGGTCTATCCACTGCCAACATCACCACCACCCCCTGCCAACATCACAACCACAACAAACTCTACTACAACCACCACTACACCACAACTACACCCCACCACAATTACACCACCACCACTACACCACAACTACACTCACCACCACAATTACACCACCACCACTACACCACCCCCTGCCACCATCACAACCACAACAAACTCTACTACAACCACCACTACACCACAACTACACTCACCACCACAATTACACCACCACCACAACTACACTCACCACCACAATTACACCACCACCACTACACCACAACTACACTCACCACCACAATTACACCACCACCACTACACCACCCCCTGCCACCATCACAACCACAACAAACTCTACTACAACCACCACTACACCACAACTACACTCACCACCACCACCACACCGCCTATGCATCCACTACCACCACTATCCCTACCACAACTACACCCCATCACAATTACACCACCCTCCCCACTACCCCCTCACTACCACCCAACCACCCCCCACTACCCCGTCCCCACCTCACAACCTCCTCGCTTCGACCGTTCCCCCCCACCACCACTCCCCCCCTCCCCACCACCACCCCCACTCACCTCCCCACTACCCCCCCACCACCAACCCTCCCCCACCACCACTCACCTCCCCACAACCCCCCCCACCACCACTCCCACTACCCCCCCACCACCCCTCCCCCACCACTACCCCCCTCCCCACCACCACCCCTCCCCCACCACTCCCCACTCACCTCCCCACTACCCCCCCCCCACCAACCCTCCCCCACCACCACTCACCTCCCCACTACCCCCCCACCACCACTCCCACTACCCCCCCCCACCACCCCTCCCCCACCACTCCCCACTCACCTCCCCACTACCCCCCCCACCAACCCTCCCCCACCACCACTCACCTCCCCACTACCCCCCCACCACCACTACCCCCCCCCACCACCCCTCCCCCACCACTACCCCCCTCCCCACCACCACCCCTCCCCCACCACTCCCCACTCACCTCCCCACTACCCCCCCCCACTACTATCCCCTCCCCCACCACTACCCCCTCCCCACCCCCACTCACCTCCCCACTACCCCCCCCCCCCCACAACGCCCCCACCCCAGAACCTCCCCGCAACGACCCTTCCCACCATCCTCCCCCCACCACCACTACCCCCCTACCCACTACCCCCCTACCCCTCCCCCCCCACCATTCCACCCCAACCCCCCGCCCTCCCCGACCCCCCCCCCCACTACCACCCCCACCACCCCCCCACATCACCCCTCCCTCCACCACCCCCCTCCCCCCCCACCACCCCCCCCCCATCCCCTCCCCCCCACCCCTCCCCCCACCACCCCCCCCACCACCCCCCCCACCACCACCGCCCCCCACCGCTCTCTGCAGTTGGTGACGTTTCGCAAGCGCGGCAAAGGCAAAGCGCGCGGGGAGGGAGCGCCTCAGAACCACCACCACCACCACCCTAGCAGCGTGCAAGACTTTAACAACAACAACAAACAACAACAACAAACAACAACAACAGACACGTTCGGTTTAACGTGCCACTGTTACACACACTGTACTCCTAGCCAAGGAGGAGGGTTTTTGTTTAATTTTGCGTGAGGAGAGATTGGGAGCAGCGGTAAACAGAGATCCTGGCCGCTCCTGCTGCTGCTGCTAATTCTCTATCATCACTCTCTGAGGTAAGTCCATCTATCTCTCTGTCTATCTCTGTGTCTATCTCTCTCTGTCTATCTGTGTCTATCTCTCTGTGTGTCTATCTCTGTGTCTATCTCACTGTGTGTCTATCTCTCTCTGTGTCTCTGTGTCTATATCTCTGTGTCTATCTCACTGTGTGTCTATCTCTCTGTGTCTATCTCTGTGTCTATCTCACTGTGTGTCTATCTCTCTGTGTGTCTATCTCTGTGTTTGGGAGCAGCGGTAAACAGAGATCCTGGCCGCTCCTGCTGCTGCTGCTAATTCTCTATCATCACTCTCTGAGGTAAGTCCATCTATCTCTCTGTCTATCTCTGTGTCTATCTCACTGTGTGTCTATCTCTCTCTGTCTATCTCTCTGTCTATCTCACTGTGTGTCTATCTATCTGTGTCTATCTATCTGTGTCTATCTCACTGTGTGTCTATCTCTGTGTCTATCTCACTGTGTGTCTATCTCTCTGTGTCTATCTCACTGTGTGTCTATCTCTCTGTGTCTATCTCTGTCTATCTATCTAACTGTGTCTATCTCTCTGTGTGTCTATCTCACTGTGTGTCTATCTCTCTGTGTCTATCTCTGTCTATCTATCTATCTCTATCTCTCTGTGTCTCTCTCTGTCTATCTCTGTGTGTGTCTATCTCTGTGTCTGGGAGCAGCGGTAAACAGAGATCCTGGCCGCTCCTGCTGCTGCTGCTAATTCTCTATCATCACTCTCTGAGGTAAGTCCATCTATCTCTCTGTCTATCTCTGTGTCTATCTATCTGTGTCTATCTGTGTCTATCTCTCTGTGTGTCTATCTCTGTGTCTATCTCACTGTGTGTCTATCTCTCTCTGTGTCTCTGTGTCTATATTTCTGTGTGTCTCACTGTGTGTCTATCTCTCTGTGTCTCTCTGTCTATCTCTGTGTCTATCTCTGTGTGTGTCTATCTCTGTGTCTGGGAGCAGCGGTAAACAGAGATCCTGGCCGCTCCTGCTGCTGCTGCTAATTCTCTATCATCACTCTCTGAGGTAAGTCCATCTATCTCTCTGTCTATCTCTGTCTATCTCTGTGTCTGTCTATCTGTGTGTCTATCTCTCTCTGTCTATCTCTCTGTCTATCTCTCTGTCTATCTCTCTATGTGTCTATCTCTGTGTCTATATCTCTGTGTCTATCTCACTGTGTGTCTATCTCTCTGTGTCTATCTCTGTGTCTATCTCACTGTGTGTCTATCTCTCTGTGTGTCTATCTCTGTGTCTGGGAGCAGCGGTAAACAGAGATCCTGGCCGCTCCTGCTGCTGCTGCTGCTAATTCTCTATCATCACTCTCTGAGGTAAGTCCATCTATCTCTCTGTCTATCTCTCTCTCTGTCTATCTCTCTGTGTCTATCTCACTGTGTGTCTATCTCTCTCTGTGTGTCTCTCTGTGTCTATATTTCTGTGTCTCACTGTGTGTCTATCTCTCTGTCTATCTTTCTCTGTATATCTCACTGTGTGTCTATCTCTCTGTGTGTCTATCTCTGTCTGTCTCTCTGTCTCTCTGTGTCTATCTCTCTGTGTCTATCTCTCTGTCTATCTCTCTCTGTCTATCTCTCTCTGTCTATCTCTCTGTGTCTGTCTCTCTGTGTGTCTATCTCTGTGTGTCTATCTCACTGTGTGTCTATCTCCGTGTGTCTATCTCTGTGTGTCTCTCTGTGTCTATCTCTCTGTGTGTCTATCTGTGTCTATCTCTGTGTGTCTCTCTGTGTCTATCTCTCTGTGTGTCTATCTCTGTCTATCTCTCTGTGTCTATCTCTCTGTCTATCTCTGTGTCTATCTCTGTGTGTCTATCTCTGTGTGTCTATCTCTCTGTGTGTCTGTCTCTGTCTATCTCTGTGTCTATCTCTCTGTGTCTATCTCACTGTGTGTCTATCTCTGTGTCTATCTCTGTCTCTATCTCTGTGTGTATCTCTCTGTGTCTATCTCTGTGTCTATCTCTGTGTGTCTATCTCACTGTGTATCTATCTCTGTCTATCTCTGTGTCTATCTCACGGTGTGTCTATCTCTGTCTCTATCTCTGTGTGTATCTCTCTGTGTCTATCTCTGTGTGTTTATCTCACTCTGTGTCTATCTCTCTTTGTCTATCTCTGTTTCTATCTCTGTGTGTCTCTCTGTGTCTATTTCACTGTGTGTCTATCTCTGCGTGTCTCTCTGTCTATCTCTCTCTGTGTCTATCTCTCTGTGTCTATCTCTGTGTGTCTCTTTGTCTATCTCTGTGTCTATCTCTGTCTATCTCTGTGTGTCACTCTCTGTCTATCTCTGTGTCTATCTCACTGTGTCTATCTCTGTGACTCTCTCTGTCTATCGCTCTATCTATCTGTGCGTGTGTCCGTGTGTTAACAATGTTACACGCCAACACAATGCGTGTGTGTGTGTTGTGATTGCGTTAAGGTCACACACAAAAACAACACCACCACACAACAACAGAACAACACCACACAACAACAGCAACAACCAACACCATCTCTGTGCGTCTACTCGGCCTCAAATTAATGTCAAAGTGACATTGAGGGAGACAAAGGCGGCCGGGCGTGGTGGTTGCTGGCCACCCACCCCCTCTGTGTGTGCCACAGTGCCGGCAGACTTCATAGGGCGCTGCTGCTACTCGCTAACAGCACTTGCCCCTACAGTCTGTTAGAGGCTACACGGGGGATCTTTGTCTGTGTCTGTGGTGCTAGCTAACAGCACTTGCCCCTACAGTCTGTTAGAGGCTACACGGGGGATCTTTGTCTGTGTGTGTGGTGCGAGCTAACAGCACTTGCCTCTACAGTCTGTTAGAGGCTACACGGGGGATCTTTGTCTGTGTCTGTGGTGCTAGCTAACAGCACTTGCCCCTACAGCCTGTTAGAGGCTACACGGGGGACCTTTGTCTGTGTCTGTGTGTGTGGTGCGAGCTAACAGCACTTGGCCCTACAGCCTGTTAGAGGCTACACGGGGGATCTTTGTCTGTGTGTGTGTGTGGTGCTAGCTAACAGCACTTGGCCCTACAGCCTGTTAGAGGCTACACGGGGGATCTTTGTCTGTGTCTGTGTGTGAGCTACTCGCTAACAGCACTTGCCCCTACAGCCTGTTAGAGGCTACACGGGGGATCTTTGTCTGTGTCTGTGTGTGTGGTGCTAGCTAACAGCACTTGCCCCTACAGCCTGTTAGAGGCTACACGGGGGATCTTTGTCTGTGTCTGTGTGTGTGGTGCGAGCTAACAGCACTTGGCCCTACAGCCTGTTAGAGGCTACACGGGGGATCTTTGTCTGTGTCTGTGTGTGTGGTGCTAGCTAACAGCACTTGCCCCTACAGCCTGTTAGAGGCTACACGGGGGATCTTTGTGTGTGAGCTGCTAGCTAACAGCACTTGCCCCTACGGCGTGTTAGAGGCTACACGGGGGATCTTTGTCTGTGTCTGTGTGTGAGCTGCTCGCTAACAGCACTTGCCCCTACAGCCTGTTAGAGGCTACACGGGGGATCTTTGTCTGTGTCTGTGGGTGTGGTGCGAGCTAACAGCACTTGGCCCTACAGCCTGTTAGATGCTACACGGGGGATCTTTGTCTATGTCTGTGTGTGTGGTGCTAGCTAACAACACTTGCCCCTACAGCCTGTTAGAGGCTACACGGGGGATCTTTGTCTGTGTCTGTGGGTGTGGTGCGAGCTAACAGCACTTGCCCCTACAGCCTGTTAGAGGCTACACGGGGGACCTTTGTCTGTGTCTGTGGGTGTGGTGCGAGCTAACAGCACTTGCCCCTACAGCCTGTTAGAGGCTACACGGGGGATCTTTGTCTGTGTGTGTGGTGCTAGCTAACAGCACTTGGCCCTACAGCCTGTTAGAGGCTACACGGGGGATCTTTGTCTGTGTGTGTGGTGCTAGCTAACAGCACTTGCCCCTACAGCCTGTTAGAGGCTACACGGGGGATCTTTGTCTGTATGTGTGGTGCTAGCTAACAGCACTTGCCCCTACAGCCTGTTAGAGGCTACACGGGGGATCTTTGTCTGTATGTGTGGTGCTAGCTAACAGCACTTGCCCCTACAGCCTGTTAGAGGCTACACGGGGGATCTTTGTCTGTGTCTGTGTGTGTGGTGCTAGCTAACAGCACTTGCCCCTACAGCCTGTTAGAGGCTACACGGGGGATCTGTGTCTGTGTGTGTGGTGCTAGCTAACAGCACTTTCCCCTACTACAGCCTGTTAGAGGCTACACGGGGGATCTTTGTCTGTGTGTGTCTGCATGGTATAGAGGCTTGCCTGAGGGTGAGACAAAGGCGGCCGGGCGTGGGGCTGGCCACCCACCCCCTCGTGTGCCACAGTGCCGGCATTGAGTCTGTATGTATGTCTACGTGTCTGTGTGTGTCTGTGTTTGTGTGTCTGTGTGTATGTCTACGTGTCTGTGTGTGTATGTGTGTGTCTGTGTGTATGTCTACGTGTCTGTGTGTGTCTGTGTGTGTTTATGTTTGCGTGTCTGTGTGTCTGTATGTGTCTGTGTGTGTCTATGTCTGCGTGTCTGTGTGTATGTCTACGTGTCTGTGTGTGTCTGTGTCTGTGTGTGTGTCTATGTCTGCGTGTCTGCATCTGTGTGTGTGTCTATGTCTGTGTGTCTGCATCTGTGTGTCTGTATGTATGTCTATGTGTTTGTGTGTGTCTATGTCTGCGTGTCTGTGTGTGCATATCTGCGTCTCTGTGTGTGTCTGTATTTGTATGTCTGTGTGTGTCTGGATGTCTGTGTCTTTGCGTGTCTGTGTGTGTCTAGATGTGTGTCTGCATATCTGCGTGTCTGTGTTTGTCTGTATCTGTATGTCTGTGTGTGTCTGGATGTCTTTGTCTTTGCGTGTCTGTGTGTGTCTGTGTGTGTCTGGATGTCTGTGTCTTTGCGTAGCTGTGTGTGTCTGGATGTGTGTCTGCATATCTGCGTGTCTATCTGTGTCTGTATCTGTATGTCTGTGTCTGGATGTCTGTCTTTGCGTGTCTGTGTGTTTGTATGTCTGTCTGCATATTTGTGTGTCTGCATGTCTGCGTGTCTGTGTCTGTATGTCTGCGTGTCTGTGTGTCTGCATGTCTATGTCTGCGTGTCTGTGTCTGCTTATCTGTGTCTGTGTCTGTCTATTTGTCCGTGTATCTGCATGTCTGTGTCTGTATGCCTGTGTCTGCATGTCTGTGTGTGTCTGTATGTATGTGTGTCTGCGTGTCTGTCTGTATGTCTGTATGTATGTCTGTGTATCTGCATGTCTGTGTCTGTATGCCTGTGTGTCTGCATGTGTGTGTCTGCATGTCTGTGTGTGTCTATATCAGGGGTCTCAAACTCGCGGCCCGCGGGCCAATTGCGGCCCGCGGAACGATATTTTGTGGGCCCTTACTTGACATCAATTTTTAATTTATTTTTTAATTACTTTTTTTACCATAGCTCAGGCTCGTGACAGCTTCCGGTGTTTGTTGACGGTAAATGTTTTGGCGGCATGAAGCTTGTGTAAAAAAACATAAATTAGCCGCATCACTGTTTAAGCCGCAGTGTTCAAAGCGTGTAAAAAAAGTAGTGGCTTATATTTCGATTTAAAGCTTTCGTGACTGCAATGATTCATCTTCTTTGGTTCTTTCGGTAAAGTCTCATTCTACGTGACTTTACCGAAAGAACCAAAGAAGATAGTGGCTTATAGTCCGGAAATTACGGTAGTTTTTTATCAACTTTTTTTCTATTGTTATTAAATGTGTTTTGGTTTTTTTTTTGTCACCCAGCGACCGGTCATGTCTTTCTCAAAACCTGCCTTGAAGAGAAAGGTTGTCTTATGTGCACAGAGAAAGTTGCGGTGCACGAGGAATACAACATCAGACGTCATTACTTAACTAGGCATACTGAGGAGTATGCAACATACCAGGGAGATGAGAGAGAGGACCGGGTCGCCAATCTTTAAACATGTCTACTTGAGGCAACAATATTTTTGTCAAGAAAGCAGGCAAAGAGAGTGATGCAGCAGTCGAAGCTAGCTACGTGGTGATTGAGACGATTGCTAAGGCGGCAAAGCCAATCAAAGACGGCGAGTTCATCAAAAAGTGCATGTTACAGGCTGCAAGTGTATAGTCTGTCCAGAAAAAGAAGGGTCAATTTAGCAACATCAGCCTTTCAGCCAACACAGTGGCAGAGCGTGTTTCTGACCTGTCGGGTAACATATATACGATCAACTGCGTGAGAAAGCCAACACGTTTCCGTGCATGCTCAGTCGCTCTTGATGAGAGCACAGACATCACTGACACTGCGCTGCTCGCAATGCATGTCCGTGGTGTTGACGGCAATGTGGAAGTGACGGAGGAGTTGCTCACA